CCAGGATGGTCTCGATCTTTTGACCTCGTGATCCACCCGCCTCGGCCTCCCAAAGTGCTGGGATTACAGGCTTGAGCCACCACGCCCAGCCTAGTTTTTCACTGTTAATGCTTTTAGACTTGTCATATTTATCCAGGAGAGAGATACCTGTACCAAAACAGAAAAAAAAAATTATACCTTGGAATTAGTTGAGAGAGTCACAAGTTGTTGATGCTGTTATTTCTATGTGGTACACCAGTAAATAGACCTTCTGTTTTAGGGGAGAAGAATAATGTTTTCTCAAGTATGTTAGGTTCAACGTTAATTACTTCATAACTTTCATTAGCAATAGAGGAAAAAGATTAATTTTAACTAGTAGAGGACAGTTGCAGCCAAAAAACAGTAAAAGTGAAGGGTTTCTACTTTATGGGATCTGAAGTTGCTCTTCAAACTTTAAAATTAGACTAGTTGGCTCATTACATCATAGGGGGGGAAAATAAAACCCCACCTGCATGAATTTCGCCCAATTTGGAGATAATGTGTTGACCTAAAACTAAAAACATAATGTATTTAAAACATTTTAGAGGCCCCACAGTTGTTTAGATAGGTAGGCTATCAACCTCCAGAATCAGCTTATGTAGGTATGAGAGATGTAGTGATGATGGATAGAGAAAGCAGTGGCTCCAGTAGGAGCTCTAAACAGAAAAGGCAGATACTTTGAGTTTCAGGCATGTGCAGGCACCCATGTGTATCACTTTGTGTATATGTGTCTGTGTGTGTATGTGAAAGAGAGTGGGAGAATGAATGGAGGTGGATAAATTTCCCAAGCAACTTTAGGGAGGGCAGTTATTTTAGACAGGATGACTACTTTATGTTCATTCAGAGTAATTATTTATGTTCATTTTCTCCAGAATCAAAGTAATCCTATTATTTATTATTGAAAATAAATGAAAAAGTTAACTTGTAATACTGTAACCATTGTTAGAATTTAGAGTCATTTCTTTCTAATTTTAAAAATGTTTTTAAAGCAAGGTACTATATAATTTTGCATCATGCTTTTGTTATTTAGAATGGGAAAATGCTAGATACCCACAGTACTTGACACATAATAGGCACTCAATAAATATTTACCAAAGAAGGAATTATTGACTTGTTTAAAAATATTTTGAATGGACCATCAAGTGACTATACCATAAATGACCTGATTATTCCCCTTTTGTTGGAAATTAGATTGTTTCTAAATTTTCCTGTCTTAAAAATACATTGACTATTTTGATGCAGATCACTTTTCCTGAAGCATTATAGCTTTTCCTAGGTATAAAGTTATTTTCTTAGGACAGGTTCCCAGAGTCAAATTAAGTATTAGAACTCTTGGTTGCAAGGGGCGGAAACTTAATTGAGAAACATTTTGGCCAGTCTTGTCAGGGGCTTCCAGGATAAATCTCAGTTATGTTTCTCAATTATGTTTCTGTCCCTTGTGTCTCTTTCCTCTTATTGCTAGGACTTCAGCCTTTGCTATATTAGGTGCTCAGATTACACTCCCAGGTCTTTGTTTCCTGTTTACCAGTGCTCTTTTTTGCTTTTCTCTGGCAGGCTCTTGCCATCTGGTGGTAAAAATTGGCATTGGCAATTTTTTGTAGTTTTTAATCCTGACATTTATATGTATAATATAAGCAAGGTAGTTCTCCCAAGGAAAGGATTTTGGACAGACAGGAAAAGGACGTCTGTTATAAGTGTTTTATTAATTTCTGAGACAGTGTCTCACTCTGTCACCTAGGCTGGAGTGCAGTGGCACCATTACAGCTTACTGTAGCCTTGACTTCCTGGGCTCAAGCCATCCTCCCACCTCGACATCCTCAGTATCCACGACTACAAGCATGCACCACCTTATTCTATTAATTTTGCCTTAATTTTTGTAGAGATGGTCTCACTATGTTGTCTAGGCTGATCTTGAATACCTGGACACAAGCAGTCCTCCCAAAGTGCTGGGATTACAGGCCTGAGCTTCCATGCCCAGCAATTATTTGATTTTAAATTATTTTTTATTAAATGTGTAATAGTTTATGAATATTTTATCATTCTTGGTAGCCATTGCAAAGTGACTTCCAAAAGTATATTCCAGCCTCAGTAATATTTCTTATTTTACTATCCTTTTACCACATTGAATATTATTATTTTCTAAATATTTTGCTAATTTAATGGATTAGAAATAGTGGCTTGTTTATATTTCCTTTTTTCACTTAAAATCTGTCATAATTATTTTTTGTTATTAATCAAAATGACTGTTTAGTCTTTTATTCAACAGATTTACCATGTTTACTGTGCTGTTTTTCTGTTATTGTTCATTAGGGTTATTTTATGGTTCTTACATTTTTAAACCTCTGTAGGTAATAATATTGCAAGTTATTTATTTATTTATTTTTGAGATGGGGTCTGGCTCTGTCACCCAGGCTGGAGTATAGTGATGCAATCTCAGCTCACTGCAACTTCTGCCCCCTGGGCTCAAGCAGCCCTCCCACCTCAGCCTCTTGAGTAGCTGGGATCACAGGTTCACACCACCACACCCAGGTAATTTTTGTATTTTTGAAAGAGATGAGGTTTCACCATCTTGCCCAGGCTGGACTGCAAGTTATTTCAGGTCTGTTAAGTTTTCTGGCTCTTTTGAGTTTTTCCTTTGGAAAAAATTCTGCTGAAATTCTTGCACCAAAGATATAAACATCTATATGTTTTTGCTTTCAAATAACTTTACCAACTTACATTTCTATCAGTATTGTGTAACTACAGTTCTTTACTAATATGGAGCACTAAATTTTTTGTTTTTTATTTTTAAAATAAGATTTGTAATATTTAAAAAATAGAGATGGGGGCCTCCTTATGTTGCCCGGGCTGGTCTCAAACTTCTTGCCTCAAGGTGTTCTCCCATCTTGGCCTCCCAAAGTGCTGGGATTACAGGCATGAGCCACTGTTCCCGGCCTATTTTATTTACTTTTTTTTTTGAGCCAAGACCTCACTCTGTCACCTGGGCTGGAGTGCAGTGGCACAACTGCAGCTTACTGCGGTTTCAACCTCCTGGGCTCATGCAGTCCTCCTGTCTCAGCCTCCTGAGTAGCTGGGACTACAGGCACGTGCCACCACACCCAGCTAGGGGTGTGTTTGTGTGTGTGTGTGTGTGTGTGTGTGTCTGTGTGTGTCTGTGTGTCTGTGTGTGTGTGTTTGTTTTATTTTTTGTAGAGACTGGGTTTGGCCATGTTGCCCAGGCTGGTCTCGAATTCCTGAGCTCAGGCAATCTGCCCGCCTCAGCCTCCCAAAGTGCTGGGATTACAAGCATAAGCCACTGTACCTGGCCACTTTGAACATTATTTTAAGAATGTTTGTTGGTTGATTGGATATAAAAAGCAGTCTCAATTTGCAGTTTTAAATTTCACACTTTTCAGTGAAAAATTTTATTTTTCACTTACAATCCCCAACTCTTATCTTCTTTTCCAGTTTAGAGTGTAAATACCAGATGTGCCCTCTGCTTTATATTACTTCTTTTTGTGCCCAGGTCTGGTCCATCGAACTCATATGTCATCCTGTCGGGTGGATAAGCCCTCTGAGATAGTAGATGTCGGAGACAAAGTATGGGTGAAGCTTATTGGCCGAGAGGTAAAGTTCTGTGCAGCTTCCATGTGGTTAGAAAGGATTAGGAAGAGCTGGGATTTTCTTGGTATTTTATGATAGTGAGTGTGTAAATTTTGTTAATTGTGACTGATAATCTTATTTTTAAATCTTGCCACTGGAATTTATTCTCAATTTAAACCTTCTTGCAAACTCAGAAGGAATGATATGAGCTATAAAAGTGTGGTGCAATAAGTACATGTTTGTAAACCTTCCCTCCCTGAAGTTTACGCATAGAGTGGGCAGGAGGAAAGAAAAAGAACCAAAAAGAGAAAAGGAAGCTTGATCTATGGGACAAGTGTTTATCACAGACTTTAAAGAATACCTGCCAGATACACTTCAATTTGGGATAAAACAAAAAGAACACAGCTTACAGTCATTTTTCCTAATATCTGGCACCATGCAATGTGCAGAAAGTGAAAAAATTCTGAAGGACCCAGTTACTCTCTTGAGGGTATGAGGGCTGTGGGTGTGGGACAGACCACAGGAGAAATAAGAGCATACACTGAGTCCTGTTCTTCTGCCAGAGAAAGGCATCGGAGATAGGCATGAAAGAGCTATTATTTAACAATATTTAAATAATTAATATGTGCTAGGTTTGGGAAATATAAGAGCGAACCAGACATAAATGATCCCAGCTATTATGGAGCATATATAGAATATAAGTAGAGGAGACAATTTTTCTTTCTTTTTTGAGACAAGATCTCTCTTTGTCACTCAGGCTGGAGTATAGTGGCACCATCACAGCTACGTGCAACCTCAGCCTCCTGGGCTCAACTGATCCTCCCACCCCAGTCTCCTGAGTAGCTGGGACTACAGGCATGCACCACTACACCTGGCCAATTTTTTTTTTATTTTTTGTAAAGATGGGTTCTCACTGTGTTACTACCCAGGCTGGTTCAAACTCCTGGGCTCAAGTGATTCTCCTGCCTTGGCCTCCCAAAGTGCTAGAATTATAGGTGTGAATTTCCATGCCTGGCGGAGACAAATATACATAAAATAATTACAAGTTATAGTAAGGGCTATATTGGGTTCAAACACTATTGGAGGAAGTTTTCTAATTGTCAGGAAAGGACTGTTTGAGGAGATAGTATATGAGCTGAGACCTAAAATAAAAGGAACTAGTCACAGAAGACTTGGGATAGGAACATTCCGTGCAGAGAGAATAACTGATACAAAGAGTCTGAAGTTAAGAAACACTTCATGTGCTGTGGGAAGCAAAAGTGTCAGCAATGTGACAAATGTCTTCATGCTTAAAGCAGCCCTAGACCAAGTCCAGAAGGAGATCTAGTCTTCTCACATGTTCAAAAGCCCCTTCTGAGCTTGGGGATCTCTGAACAAGTCACTATGCTGGACTTACCTGGAAGAAACAGCTTTTATTTTCTGCCTGGTTATTTCTGCAAGCCTTGGATTTTTGCCTCTTGTAAAGACAAAAAGACTGTTTTTGTCTTTCCCCCAGAGGGACAGGAATGAGATTAAGACTGTTTCCTAAAATCCTTCTGCTATAGGATCTACCTGTTACGCTTATTTGTATCCACAGTATTCCTAGCAGAGTAAATGGTCCATTAGAGAAGCTCAGTGTTTGTTATAATGATGAAAACGTTGACTCTTAATTTTAGACTGGCCATCTAAATGATGTATTTAAAGTTTTTGGTGACTTCTTTTGGGTCTCTTTCAGATGAAAAATGATAGGATAAAAGTATCCCTCTCCATGAAAGTTGTCAACCAAGGGACTGGGAAAGACCTTGATCCCAACAACGTTATCATTGAGTAAGTAAAAGGTTTGAAAAGGTAAAAATTCTTCTGCCTCCTAAAACATAAAATGCTTTAGTAAGTCAGACTGAACTGGGAACTCTACCATTTATGGACTTTGTGATACTGATGAGTTATGTAACCTTTGCAATCTTTGGTTTTTAGAAATATAAAATGAAGTTTGGCCAGGCACAGTGGCTCACCCCAGTAATCCTTACGCTTCAGGAAGCTGAGGTGGCGGACCACCTGAGAGATCAGGAGTTCAAGACCAGCCTGGCCAACATGGTGAAGCCCTGTCTCTACTAAAAATACAAAAATTAGAAATTTGTCGGGTGTGGTAGTGCGCGCCTGTAGTCCCAGCTACTTGGGAGGCTGAGGCAGGAGAATCGCTTGAACCCAGGAGGTGGAGGTTGCAGTGAGCTGAGATCATGCCACTGCACTGCAGCCTGGGTGACAGAGCAAGACTCCATCTCAAAAAATAAAGTAATAAAAATAAAATAGTTAACACTTTGCTGGATAGAATTCTGAGATGAAATGCTAACGTGCCAAGCTCCTGGCATTGGAGTGCTCTGTTAGTGGTTTTGTTTCCTTTCCCTTAATCTCATTCTATTTCCACCCTTTAACAAGTTAACTAATAAGCATTCATGAAGGACTGACTATTCTTTACCTCTCTTAGTGATTTCTGCATTGGTGCTACGTGGGTCTCTTCTATGTGGAGACCATATGGAAGGGTGGGTAGAGTAATCCAGGAGCAATTCCAGTGGGGTTTAGACTACCACATCTTGGGATACACTGTGCTCTGAAAACAACATCTTACTTTCATTGGCTCTTCTGACGTTTTATTTAGGAATGGAAAATTATCTATGTAGGATAACATCTGGTGATACAGTGAATTTTCTGTCTGTCTCAAGTCTTTCTTGAATTTCTTTCTTTCTTTTTTTTTTTTTAAAGATGGGGTTTCACCCTGACGGTCAGGCTGGTTTTGAACTCCTGACCTCAGGTGATCCACCCACGTTGGCCTCCCAAAGTGCTAGGATTACAGGCGTGAGCCACCGCGCCTGGCCTCTTGTTTTTTGTTTTTTTTTTTGAGATGGGCCACCCAGGTTGAAGTGCAATGCCGTGTTCACGGCTCACTGCAGCCTTGACCTCCCGAGCCCAAGCAATCCTCCCACCTCTGCCTACCGAGTAGTTGGGACTACAGGCATGTGCCACCTCACCTGGCTAATTCTTATTTTGTAGAGACAGGGTCTTCCAGTGTTGCCCAGGCTGTTCTTGGACACCTAGGCTCAAGTGATCCTCCTACCTTGGTCTCTAAAGTGCTGGGATTACAAGTGTGAGCCACCATGCCCAGCCTTCTTTCCTAAATTTCTCATCAGGGGTTCTTGGATCCCTAAAGTCCCTTAAAGGGGGATCTTGGAGGGTTTATTAACTGTTTTTAGTGTTTTAGAAAGCCATCCAAAATTGTCTGTGTAACCTCGGTTAACAATGCTGTTATTTTGTTGCTTTTGATGATAAAATATCACATTGTTTGTCTTATGTTAATTAGGTACTCTTAATGTTAATTATGTCATTGATTAATTCAAAAGACAAGAAAAATAATAGAATGTTATTTGAGTGGGATCTTATTGGTGAAAAGCTTGGAAAGCCTTATGTTTATAGTTCTGAGCAAAATCACTTTGAATTTGAATTTTATCTGGAAGTAAGGGAAGTGATGTACTGCAGTGCCAGGCATTTTATGTACACTCCTGTGTACATAACAACCCACAAAGTGGATGTTATCTCCATTTTACTTTCTATTCCTACTGTGTAGCTTGGTGTTTGGTGATAAAACTTGACTGTGGTTACATAGCAAATTCGCAGGGACTCAAAACTGGGCCTCTCTGACCTTAAAGCTAATGCCCTTTTTACTATATAATGCTTCTCATTGTTGCATGTGACTTACATAACTTTTCATATTTCTGTAGTTTAGTCTCTAAGTATTAACATGTTTGTAAGGCTGATTATTGACAAAATACTGTTCAGTAATAGTAAAACTGTTCAGTAATAGTAGAAATGTTTAAATGTAGCTGTGGTTCAAGTTAGTGTTTGGAAAAGAAAAAAGAAAAATTTGATGATTACATTGTAATAAATTGCTTTTGCTCCAAAGAAGCTGATACAACTATACAGACTCATTAAAAAGTAGTGAAATTTCCCAAAGCCACCCTTACAATGATAAAATGTAAAACATGTAAGATAAAAGAGCTAACTGTGTTTCTCAGAGAAAGGGTAGGGAAGGGAAAGGGCTCCCTGGTTTTGGGCTGTCTCTGTGTAAAACCATTTCGAGGAATAATCAAGTGGCTGAAACAGTAACTTTTGTTGTAAACTATGTTGTAAATACATGACTTTCTGCTGAAAGTCATATATTACTTAGTCTCTCTGAATCTCAGCTTCTTTACTATAAAAGGGAGATAGTAACATATATCTGAGGAATGCTTGAATGATTGATAAGGAGCCAGCTTCATGCCTAGTCTATGGTAGACATTTAATGTATGTAGCTACTTGTAGTATTGTTTTAAATGCCACTTTGTTTTTTCCTATAACATCTGAGATTATAGCACCCTTTTCTTTTTCCTTCATACTATGTTGTGCAGAACCACACCTTTGCTTTTAAAAGAATGTGTAAGCCCCAAAAAACAGAGACCATGACTTGTCTGCCATTGTTCCTGACGTATACCATTCGTAGCATTCATTTAGTGTTTTGTTTTGTTTTGTTTTCAGGTATGTCTTAGTAACGTGAAAATGGACATTTAAGGTTTTTTTTTTTTTTT